AAAAGTGGCACTGCCCCCTAGAGGGTCAATTTGTTACTACATACTCTGTCTAGAAGCCTGATATTTACGGACAACATTTAGCAGATCGTCCCCCAGCCACTCTCATTGAAAATGAGTTAAAGAGCAAAGCAGCACTTTTTTTAAAGCCAGAAATGTGTAAAATAAGGGTTGTTTTAAAAAAAAAAGAGAGCTATAAAATGTGCGTTTTTAGAGGTATTGTTGTTTATTTAGTCTTTTAAAAAGCTTCCTGGTTTAATGTAACAGCAGCTTTGGTCCGAATGGTTCAGTCAGTATTGTTTACACACAGATTTTAGGATTTCTGACAAATAAAAATGCAAATAAACCGTTTTTTTAACACTACTCACAGGTCCGGGCCCGCCGCCCCTCTCCCAGCAAAGAAAAAAGCCCCATTCATTCCCACGTCGGTTTGGGCTGAAAGCAGCTAACTTATAGCAGCTTTTTCTGCCTTTGACCCTTTAAAGCCTGATCCAAGAGTAAAACAAAACAGAAAATTACTTTTTTTTTGTTCTAATTCCTTATTTGGTCTTTTAACAAAATATGTAAAAAGAAAAAACAGAAATCATTTTTCGTATTAATAATTTATTACTATGTGATAAGTCAAGATTATTTTTTGTGTAGTCTTCTGCCCCCTGTTATCAGGTGTATCTGATTGTGTTCAATAGGATTTTGAGCAAAGTTTTTACCATTAAATTATGCAAAAGGTGTCAGACGCAAAACATTTCAGAAACCGTATCAAATATGATACAGAGGTATTGTTGTTTATTTAGTCTTTTAAAAGGTTTCCTGGTTTAATATAACAGCAGCTTTGGTCAGAATGTTGAATAATAATTGTTTACACACAATATTGTGTGTTTCTGACATAAAAAAGGCAAATAAACCAGTTTTGAATCATTAGAATCTTTAAAAGTGCGTGAAGAAAAATATCTCAAGTAGTGAATAATAAAAGTAGACAAAAAGCAGAGGATTTCAATGTGGAAAATTAAAAAATCACTCACTTCTACGTTATTTACAGTTTAAATGAGCTGAATTATTTAGCTCTTTCAGCTCAAAAATGTCTTTAAAAAATATTAGAGCTACTTTGAGCAGCACAAAACATCAGTTTAAGGCAATTTTTAAGATTTTAGGCTTTTTTAATGCACCTTTTAAAAAAAAAAAAGCTTTTTCGTTGCATGAAATTTAGATTTAAATAATTTTAGCTGCCTTTTTATGTGTTTTTTTTAGACTGCCTACTTTCGATCTGCTTTTCTTTGCAAAACTTTCTCTTAAATAAATTAAAAGCTAATCCCCCCCCCCCCCAGGCCCCGGCCAACATGAAGTCCGTCCTGCAGGCCGGTTGGCTGCTCACCGTCGCCTTTGGGAACGTCATCGTGCTGATCGTGGCCGAGGGGGCGGGGCTAGAGCAGGTAGGCCACGCCCACTCAAAGCCTCTCTCTCTCTCTTACTTTTGCCCTCTCTCTCTTGCCCCCTCTCTCCCTTTATCTTGCCTTCTCTCTCTTACTCACGCCCTCTCTTTCTCCTCCCCGTTCCCCTCTGGTTCTCCTCCAGGTTTCTTCCCCCTAAAGCCAGTTTTTCCTTCCCTCTGTCTCCTAGTGCTGCTCTGGGTGGGAGTTGTTGGGTTTCTGTAAATAACTCAGTCTGAGCTGCTCTGTTTGGAGTAGGGATGTCCATATCCAGCTTTTTTTATCACTTCCGATCCCGGCCTATCAGAGCACGTGCTAAAGTTTAAAGTTATTTATCTACTTACTGTAGTTGTCAGACTCATGTTGAACAGGGATTTACTCT